CTAACACAATTGTGGGCAGATACAACAGAACCTATAGGTGTTTCAGCTGTGTGACTGCAGTGGGCCTTAAAACCCATTAGGGCCTATTCACACCAGCAGCCACGCTACACTGCACAGCTGCTGGTGTGTGTGAGTGTCTGGCACAGTGCTGATGCGGTTTCCTTTTTTTTGTACGAACTTATTTCAGTAAGTTCTATGGCTGCAGCAGAATGCAATGGAGTTGTGCATGCCACCGCAGTGGTATGAAACTGAGCCCATCTGGAACAAGGGAAATTGCCTTCTCCTGCGTTGCGGCTGCACTGGAAAAAAAATAGCCAGCACAACCCCAACGCATGGGCTGTGAACTGGGCCCTGTCTCAATTTCTCTTTATTTTCCAAATATCACAACTTATTCTTCCAAACAATCATGTGACTTACCTAAATGTGCGTCCAGAAGGTGAGGCTGTTCCTGGTATTTGTCCATGATAACTGAAATGAAAGACAACGAGGTGCTGAAGTCAAACACCTAAAAGGAAACCGTTCCTCATTTATATTCTGAATGCTGAACATTTTCTATACCCATCCCCTCTTCCTGCAGCCAAGAAGCAGCAGTTTGCATCGCTTACATCACTCAGAGGACTACAACTAGCTCTCATTGACAGACTCGGGTTGAAAAAAGATGAATGTAAATAGAACAATGATTGCATAAACCCGCAGCTGATTCAGAAGAAGGCCAAAAAAGGGGGAAATTATTTCTTGCAGCAAACAGGGGAACATTAGGAGTTACGCAAAATCACTACTGATATATAATATATTATATCATACACCAATCTCCAGGGTTTCAACAGAACTTATCAAAAATCGGATTATCCCCTAATTAAAGAAATCCCTTTCTCGGAGCTGGTTCAGTACACAGGTGTAACATGTAATTTAATCAAAAAAATTAATATTTAATCATAAAGAAACGAATATAAACAAAACAATACATCCCCAACAAGACATTAAAATCAATTAAAAAACTTCCCTTGAACAGACAATAGTTGCACGAAGGATCTACAAGTCAGCTGATGTGGCAAAGACCTGATTAACGCAGATACATGCACTGTATTTCATATACGGATACAAAGTATCCAAAGTTACTCACAGCTCACGCGGTTTAGGGAGAGACAGTCCTGCTCGGATCCCACAGTGCTGAATAGTTGGATATTGTTGTGCACCTGGAATTCCTCACCGTGGAGATCCCCACTTCTACTGCTTTTGCTGTCTGTGGTTTATTGTGCGGCCGCACATATATATTTTTTGCAACCCAAATTGAAGTTTGCGGGTTAGTGAGAGTCCCAAGTAAGGGGAGAGGGAAGGGCGCTTACATCGTTTCAGCCCTACCAACAACCCCTCTCTCTGGATCCCAAACCACAGCCACAGGACACACTGTTTGAAGTGAAACAATATCCAACTATTCAGCACTGTGGGATCCGAGCAGGACTGTCTCTCCCTAAACCGCGTGAGCTGTGAGTAACTTTGGATACTTTGTATCCGTATATGAAATACAGTGCATGTATCTGCGTTAATCAGGTCTTTGCCACATCAGCTGACTTGTAGATCCTTCGTGCAACTACTGTCTGTTCAAGGGAAGTTTTTTAATTGATTTTAATGTCTTGTTGGGGATGTATTGTTTTGTTTATATTCGTTTCTTTATGATTAAATATTAATTTTTTTGATTAAATTACATGTTACACCTGTGTACTGAACCAGCTCCGAGAAAGGGATTTCTTTAATTAGGGGATAATCCGATTTTTGATAAGGAAATTATTTCTTGCCCCTCAACCAAATACTTCCTGGATCAGCATTCTGCAGTGTTATTTCTTATAAAGAGATACAAAGAAGAGTGAATTCCCTAGTGGTATGAATGTACAGTACACAGTTCAGCAGTATGGGGAATGCAGTGTATAGCACAACCTACATAGGTCAGCAGTCTGGGCAATGCAGTTTATATAATTCAGCAGTCTGGGGAATGTAATGTATAGCACAGCGTACATAGCTCAGCAGTCTAGGGAATGTAATGTATAGCACAGTGTACATAGTGCAGCAGTCTGGGGAATGTAATGTATAGCACAGTGTACATAGTGCAGCAGTCTGGGGAATGTAATGTAAAGCACAGCGTACATAGTGCAGCAGTCTAGGGAATCTAATGTATAGCACAGCGTACATAGTGCAGCAGTCTGGGGAATGTACAGCAGTCTGGGGAATGTAATGTATAGCACAGCGTACATAGTGCAGCAGTCTAGGAAATGTAATGTATAGCACAGCGTACATAGTGCAGCAGTCTAGGGAATGTACTGTATAGCACAGTGTACATAGTTCAGCAGTCTGGGGAATGTACTGTATAGCACAGCGTACATAGTTCAGCAGTCTGGGGAATGTACTGTATAGCACAGCGTACATAGTTCAGCAATCTGGGGAATGTACTTTATAGCACAGCATACATAGTGCAGCAGCCTGGGGAATGTTATGTATAGCACAGCGTACATAGTGCAGTGGAGCAAAGCATGTGGTGTGCCGTTACATTGCCGGCAGTCAGTGGAGGCCAGAAGGAAGCTGGAAATGCTCAGCGAGGCTTTGGTTGTTAGTGGAGAAGGATCACATTGCCCCCTCTTCTCAGTGGTAATTAATATTAACCTTTCCATGTTTTTCTTAAGCTCAAACCCCTTAATATATAGACCTCAGTCTGCTGTCACATGACCCTTCACAGTGTCCCTTCCAACAGTAAAGACTTGTTATCCTGTGCTGAAGACCAGGCCCTCGCCGCTCACAGATCTTATTGCCCCCTCATGATGTCATCATTCCACTGCAGTTTTCTGGAGCCTAAGTGCACTCTTCACTGCACAGCCAATGGGAACTGTCCATGTCACCCAGACAGCGACTTGGGCAGATGGACCCTTCCACTAAACAAGGTGTCCGACAAATTCATTAAGAACAGAAACACATTTATATATCTGGCTTCAAAACGTTTTACCACCAGCAGATTCATGTTCCCCAACTGGTAGGTAATGTAGGTAATGTAAAGCAAAGCCATCGATTCCCTACATAGGCCATCATACAAGGTCTAGTAAAAGGGGTCCTTACCTATAAATCTCTGCGTGCATACTTCTCTGGTCACCAGCTCTTCACAAGTAGTCCGAAGGCTGACAATCAAATCTCGGGTCTCTTGGCTCTCGGTGAACGATTCCAAAATGTTACCACAAGATACTGCTTCTAGGCTCCCATCTTCACGTTCTGCACTGTCCTCGCCCATTTTCATAGCACTGGACTAGAAAGCCTATGGGAGACAAACCATAGGTAAAAATCAGTTTCTTGGTGTTATAGAGAGGACTGTGTAATATGGCCAGAGCTATGAGGACCCTCATATAACCTCTTCCACTTCAGGAAATCCTTAGTTTTTTTAGCAAGCAATAAAGGACAGGGGAGGCGGGTGCTGTGTCCTGTACTGTACCCCAAGAAATGGATTTTACACGGAAGTCAAAAATCCTGTTTTTTTTTTATCTTACAGTGCAAGACACAGTCAGATGCTGACAGGACTGGGGCATCCCCAAGAAATAGAAAAGAGGGGTTGGCAACACAGCAAAACAACTGCCAACAGGCCCACGTAACAGAAACCTAGGAGAGGGGAGCAAGCTAATTGATAGGCTGACACACATGCCAATCTGTAGCTGAGTCTCTAGAGGAAACATAAGATAACCACTAGAGATGTCCCTATACCCATACTAGTATCAGAGCCGATACAGGGCATTTTCAAGAGTACTTGTACTCGTGAAAATGCCCCGATACTGAAGGCCGATACTGGCCCTTTAAATCTGCGTACGGATTCTGGACCAGGCCTGGAGATCTGGACGCAGCTCTGGCGAGAAACTGCCCTAAAATCATTAGTCTGTATTGTTTTAGAAAAAATGTCACATGTCCCTTTAAGAAAAGGTATCTGTAATTGGTATCGGCAAGTATCTTAGGGCAAGTACTTGGTCTTGAAAAAGTGGTATCGGGACATCCCTAGTAACCACCCCATGACCATTTGCAGTAGTAGTGCGGGGCCCCAAATGGGTGCTTAGAATACCAACAACAACGGGTTAAATAGGATCATCCTCTCTGGTCTGTTACAACACTGATGATAGTACTGCTCTGGATGGTGTTAAATGCTGACAAGGTCAGTGCACTACCTCTGACCTATGTGGCAAAGATGGGCATCACATCTCCTGATTTCCCTGCTCCTGTGGGAGAAGTACCAAAAAATACCAAGGTGCCCACCATACCAGGCTCCATGCATTAACAGGGCAGTCTGGCGTACCATGATGTCAGCAGTCTAGGGAATGTACTGTATAGCACAGTGTACATAGTTCAGCAGTCTGGGGAATGTACTGTATAGCACAGCGTACATAGTTCAGCAGTCTGGGGAATGTACTGTATAGCACAGCGTACATAGTTCAGCAGTCTGGGGAATGTACTGTATAGCACAGCGTACATAGTTCAGCAATCTGGGGAATGTACTTTATAGCACAGCATACATAGTGCAGCAGCCTGGGGAATGTTATGTATAGCACAGCGTACATAGTGCAGTGGAGCAAAGCATGTGGTGTGCCGTTACATTGCCGGCAGTCAGTGGAGGCCAGAAGGAAGCTGGAAATGCTCAGCGAGGCTTTGGTTGTTAGTGGAGAAGGATCACATTGCCCCCTCTTCTCAGTGGTAATTAATATTAACCTTTCCATGTTTTTCTTAAGCTCAAACCCCTTAATATATAGACCTCAGTCTGCTGTCACATGACCCTTCACAGTGTCCCTTCCAACAGTAAAGACTTGTTATCCTGTGCTGAAGACCAGGCCCTCGCCGCTCACAGATCTTATTGCCCCCTCATGATGTCATCATTCCACTGCAGTTTTCTGGAGCCTAAGTGCACTCTTCACTGCACAGCCAATGGGAACTGTCCATGTCACCCAGACAGCGACTTGGGCAGATGGACCCTTCCACTAAACAAGGTGTCCGACAAATTCATTAAGAACAGAAACACATTTATATATCTGGCTTCAAAACGTTTTACCACCAGCAGATTCATGTTCCCCAACTGGTAGGTAATGTAGGTAATGTAAAGCAAAGCCATCGATTCCCTACATAGGCCATCATACAAGGTCTAGTAAAAGGGGTCCTTACCTATAAATCTCTGCGTGCATACTTCTCTGGTCACCAGCTCTTCACAAGTAGTCCGAAGGCTGACAATCAAATCTCGGGTCTCTTGGCTCTCGGTGAACGATTCCAAAATGTTACCACAAGATACTGCTTCTAGGCTCCCATCTTCACGTTCTGCACTGTCCTCGCCCATTTTCATAGCACTGGACTAGAAAGCCTATGGGAGACAAACCATAGGTAAAAATCAGTTTCTTGGTGTTATAGAGAGGACTGTGTAATATGGCCAGAGCTATGAGGACCCTCATATAACCTCTTCCACTTCAGGAAATCCTTAGTTTTTTTAGCAAGCAATAAAGGACAGGGGAGGCGGGTGCTGTGTCCTGTACTGTACCCCAAGAAATGGATTTTACACGGAAGTCAAAAATCCTGTTTTTTTTTTATCTTACAGTGCAAGACACAGTCAGATGCTGACAGGACTGGGGCATCCCCAAGAAATAGAAAAGAGGGGTTGGCAACACAGCAAAACAACTGCCAACAGGCCCACGTAACAGAAACCTAGGAGAGGGGAGCAAGCTAATTGATAGGCTGACACACATGCCAATCTGTAGCTGAGTCTCTAGAGGAAACATAAGATAACCACTAGAGATGTCCCTATACCCATACTAGTATCAGAGCCGATACAGGGCATTTTCAAGAGTACTTGTACTCGTGAAAATGCCCCGATACTGAAGGCCGATACTGGCCCTTTAAATCTGCGTACGGATTCTGGACCAGGCCTGGAGATCTGGACGCAGCTCTGGCGAGAAACTGCCCTAAAATCATTAGTCTGTATTGTTTTAGAAAAAATGTCACATGTCCCTTTAAGAAAAGGTATCTGTAATTGGTATCGGCAAGTATCTTAGGGCAAGTACTTGGTCTTGAAAAAGTGGTATCGGGACATCCCTAGTAACCACCCCATGACCATTTGCAGTAGTAGTGCGGGGCCCCAAATGGGTGCTTAGAATACCAACAACAACGGGTTAAATAGGATCATCCTCTCTGGTCTGTTACAACACTGATGATAGTACTGCTCTGGATGGTGTTAAATGCTGACAAGGTCAGTGCACTACCTCTGACCTATGTGGCAAAGATGGGCATCACATCTCCTGATTTCCCTGCTCCTGTGGGAGAAGTACCAAAAAATACCAAGGTGCCCACCATACCAGGCTCCATGCATTAACAGGGCAGTCTGGCGTACCATGATGGCCCACATCTTCAGTCCTGTGGGATCCGTCGGATCCCGTGGGAGCTGTTGCCATGGGACACCAATCCACAAGCTGCGAGGTTGCCACCTTGGCCAGATGCAGCCATAGGAAAACACCTGATTGAAGAACTGCATGAAAGAAATGTAACTAAACGAGTCTCCCTTAGTAAACAGGAGACAATCCATCACTATCAAAAAACTGAAGATTTCCTGGAGTGGGAGGGGTTACATGAGGGTTCTCGCAGCTCCGTCCAATGTCCTATCACCTGATGATACCCGCATATTACCCATTGGTCTCTTTGGCCACGTTCACACTTTACCACGTGTCTACGCATGCCGAAGCGTGTGCATTGACGTACGTATACGCAACACAGAAAACCACACATTGCGCTTGCAGCAGGATTACTAAGTTAATGGCACCCCAAACACTTCAGTCAAAACACACGTCTGTTCATGACGCACAACAAACGCTTTCAATACACCTTTAGAAATGTTTAGTAATGACAATCTACACACAGATACTTCTAGATAATTGCCGGCTTTTTATTCTTTGCATAACTTATTTTTCTTTTCCTCCCCATTCTTCTCACAAAACCCATATAAAATACATCAGAATGCACTAGATATCCAATGCACAAAAACGCACATGCCGTGTTTGCAGAAATGACGGTGAAATTATTATTTTAAGGCCTCATTCACACGGGGCGCGTTACCTCGAACATGGGGACCCGGAGCTGCGGGAAGAAGCGTGCAGCCTCAGATGCATACATGATGGATCCAGGTCAGTACCTGGATCCACCATTGCTGCTCATTGAGGGGGGAGAGCTACCATTCTGCTCATTCAGGAGGGGGGG